CTCTCAGACTGAAGAAGTCTCTTGGAGGAGAGACGAAACGTTTCATTAGAGAAGAACCCGTCCAGAAGACCTATACAATTTTTTTTTTCTTTTTGATATCTGTAATACTCACTACAGAATAAGTTGCGTATGAGAGTAAGGCAATGTTAGTGCAATTTAAGTTTGCTTTAATCACTGAGAAGGATTTGGTGATTATATCTTGGTTGGCACATTACATATTCAAATTGCTTTGCAGAATTCAAGCATGGTCTCCCTCCCCCTCCAACACTAGTCTCAGAGCTGGACGATTGGGCATTAATGAGCTAGCTACAACAACTGGGAGTGGGGGGAGGCCCAGATTAAGCAGTTACTGGGGGTGGGGGGGTAAGGACTTGGTGGCAGTCTGGCCTAAAACGAGGATTTATAGCATCTACATCAATGTCACACACGTAGATTTGTACCTACTAGATAAGCCTCTTGTCTGGTTGTCAAGTTGCACAAAGTTCAACAGGTCATGTGTTCACTGACCGCTGCCAACTGTGGAGCTTTGTCACAAGAACCACAATTACCTCTTTTTTTGATCACTGTCCTGCCTGGTCCATGTCACATTTCCTGCAAAGGGGCACTTGCAGAGCCACAGAAACCAGAGGAATTCTTCAAATCACTGTCCTGGCATCACTCCAGGGCTCAGCGGTGTCAGGGGCCGAGGCTCCTATCAAGAAATAGCACGCTGAGGTTTTTCGACTGCTTTTTCTTTCTGTCGCTGCGGCACATAGCCCTACTATTGTAAATCGTCCTGCCAAGCTTGTAATCATGCAATGAAAGACACAAACTCTCAAAGGACCTCTGAAGTTTGCATTTAAAGCCTACTGTGCAACCTATAAATAGCAGGGGGGCAGCTTATTTTGACTAACATCTTATTTTACTACTTTAGGTAGGGTAAATGGACTTAAAACTGGCTGTGCAGTGAAAACTGCAACGGTCTAATCAATAACTTACATCTGGTATAAAACAAAATAAGACTCTGGATTGCTTTATAATCACAGGGGATTAAGAGATGCGTTCAGAGCTGGTCTGGATTCCCATGGTTGGAATTTCACATCTTGGTGCTTATTTTGTTTTGGGGCTCTGGCAACGCTGCTCGTTGGCATGATCTGAATTCTTAGAAAAAAAGGACCTAGTTAAATAAATCCACGTGGTCAGTTGCTTATTGATTACCAAACACGTGTTACTTAAGAACAAGACTTATTTTTTCATCTATTCACAGATTTTGCTGGATTCACTTTTATTGTAGAACACCGAGTCTTACCAAAGATGCCATGCAGTACTTTATTACCTTTGCTTTGGCTGGTTTTACGAGTTCAGTATGGTGGGAGTAAACATGAACTCTGCGTTTGAATTGTGCTCTGTCAGGTGTTACGTTGGTTAGCTTTCCTTCTCCATTGATAAATGTTACGTTACAGATACGGGAGTGTTTTTTTTGTTGTTGTTGTTTTTGTTGTTCATAACCCTGTCTTGTCTTTATGTGCGCAGCTGTCACATGTAGGCAGCAGAGCGGGGATGAGGGGAATGTAGCGGTCCTCTCAAAGATAATCTAATGACGACTGTGTGTGAAGGCAGAGCTTCCCGTGGGCTTCCTCCCTCCCTCCCGCCGGCCGTCTTGATTATTGTGCCATTTCACCCCATGCCTTTCCTTGAATCCTTGGGAGACATCAGGGCTCCTATCTCACACATGGCTGCTCTAACTCTACCCCGACTTCCCCCTCGCACTGAAAATAAGCTTTTGCACAAGTGTGTACGTGTACATGCACACAGATATTTATTTAATCTGGAAGCTAATTAGAATAACAATAACAGGAATGTGGGTTGATAGTTGTCCTCTCCCGGTGGCACAGTAGTGAGAAGGGAAGTTTTCCTGTGTGTTTCTGAAACGCTCCCAGTGTTCATCCACATGTGTTAGGCAACACCAAAATCCCTGTGTTCTTCTTGCTCAAGGCCCTTTGTGTTTTTCATTTGTACTATGTATTTTAGGAACAAGTTTTATGAGATGGTATTATAAAAAAAGAAGTTTTGGAGCACCGCTGTGACAGAAACAGCGTTTTAAATTCAGACGTCATTTACAAAGTCCCCTGGTATTTAAAAAATTCCAGAAATTATATAAATATAACTCTAGATGTAAAACATTTATCTTTACTATTTACCAGAAGCTAAGCAGAACTGCAGAAGCTGTGTGTGAAAACAGAAGTAACCCCACAATTGCTGGTAAAACCACCTTTTATCAGTAGTCACTTTAATCATCGTCTTCTGTATGACCTAATCAGTCTCTCACACCCTTGTGGAAAAATTTGACCCTCTTTTTAAAGGGATCCCTGATTAGTTGTAGCGTTAGACCTTATTTGATAAACATATATTTTGACTGTAAAATAAAGACTGTAAAAATACTGTAGGCTGTTCAGTTTTTATTATTTTTAAACTAAAAGTTTAAAAATCTATTACACGGACGGGGCCATTTTATTTACACACAACGCATTCTGGGTAAATGATGACATGGGTCCTCGGTGTGAGTGAGCTATATCCACCCTGAAGGTTAATCTTGGACAATATCCGACTATTGGCTCTTTTAAATGAAACCAGAAAGCGTTGACAGAGAGGAGAGGGTAGAAATGACTCAGCCTGGAACTGAAAATATGGATGGAGGACAACAGTTTAACTTGTTAGTTTGTCGTGCTGGCGCCGAGCTAATACATATAAGGCAATATAGCATCAGTGCTAGCACAAAGGCTAACAGGCTAAGCTGAGGTTCTTCTTCCATGAAGCAGCTCTGTTGTCCTCCATCCATATTTTCAGTTACAGGCTGAGTCATTTCTACCTTCTCCTCTCTGTCAACGCGCTCTGGTTTCATTTAAAAGAGTCGATCATCAGATATTGTCCAAGATTAACCTTCAGGGTGGATATAGCTCGCTCACACCGAGGTCCTATCCACGTCATCATTTACCCAGAATGCTTTGTGTGTAAATAAAATGGCCCCGTCCGTGTTAAAATATGTTTTTAAAAATGTACAAAACTAAACAGCCTAAAGTATTTTTACAGTCATGTTACAACTAATCAGGGATCCCTTTAAAAACATTTTTAACCTTCATTGGGATTTTAAACATTTGTTTAAGAACAACTCTGTTTAATGTCCCAAATAGCATCTATTTCAGATTGGGGTCTGGACTTTGACTTGGCCACTGAAACACCTTTGCTGTTTATTTTTTTCCGTTTATTGTAGATTTGTTGTGGGGGTCTGGATCATCGTCCTGTTTCATGAGTTTAAAGTTTACTTCAGTCAAGCTTTAGCTGTTGGGCAGACAACCTCATTTGAGTTACATAAACTCTCTCACTGTAAAATGATGGATTTGTAATTCTTTTCATTCCTTCTGGATTGATGTGCAACATAACTTGCTTCTCTGAGATAGTTGCTGATATTTGTCCTTGTTGGTAACTCATAACCTGAGTGCTCTAGACCAGCGAGCTGTCAGTACGTCTCTTCACATGTGGTGTTGATCAGTTTCTGAAAATGCTTTTGGTTAGCAGCATTTGGCTGTTACTTCCTCCCTGAATTCCTACTGAGGCAACAAGGGTGCACTTAAGTTTAGTGCATTCTGCTTCCTTTTGTTAATTTTATTTGATAAAAATTACAAGAATGGAGGTAGAACAATGCTGGGCAAATTTTTGTATCCTTAACTGGCATTGACCACACCTGGCTGGCAGCTACACATTGAAACTAAAACCAAAACTATCAACTTCAACCTTGCTTCCTGCAACAGGAGTGGAGTTTTTTTTTTACATCACTATAATCCTAAATTCTAAAAGAACAGTGTCGTACAAATAAACGTGATTTTCTTTCAGACCCATACATATTTAGTTAGATTAGAAATGTTAAATTTAAAGTAAATTAATTTTCTTGGAACTCCATATGAACCTTTAGCTGTTTTTTGAGATGAACATGTACCGATCATTATCAGCCCTCAGGATTAATTCACACAATTACAAGGCTTCTTTTTTTAAATCAAATTCAAGTAAACCTGAGTTTCTTTGAACAATTAATTGTTACATTTAATGGCCCAAAAACAAGCAACAAATGGGCTTTGTAAACTTTCTGTTACCCTGAAAGTTCCTAAGGTTTAAAAGTACTTTCCAACACACAATCTTTGAATTGTTATAGGATTACAGGCTGGCTACTGGTGTGGGGAGAAAGGTCTAGTAAGGGGAGTGGAGCATAGCTGTCCAAGTGGGACGGCTCTAGTGAAACAGCAAGGCGGATACGAAGAAATTACATTACTGGTTTCAGTGTGTTGAAGCAGGTCTGATAACCAGCAGCAAAAAGGAATTTCCTGACTTGCAGACACACGAATGAATGTCCAACTCTTTGCTTCTCCTGTATCTACCAACCCCCCTCAATGAATAGATCCTCAAGCATCAGCACCGCATCCATCCAGGCTCACAGAAAGCAGGCTATAAGAGGTCTAAGGGATGCTTTGTGTACCACATGTTCTGTTTTTAACATCTGTCTTGCAGGGGTGTTCTAGGTCATAATGTTCAGTTCTCGAGAATGGTGGTTGGGAATAATTAATTTTGTCCTCATTTCTCAGAAGTATTTTCAACATTAGTGCACTTGTTTGGACTGCGTGTGCCACCAAAGTATCCATGAAAAAATAATTACAAAAAAAAAAAGATTAAATACACATGCTTCAGCCAGGTTCCAGGATCCCCATACTGGGCTGCACATTTCTAGAAGAAGAGAACTGTTTAAGGCCATTTGTCATACACTGGYTCTACTGGGAGTCACTGCTACTCCTATTGCCTCTATGCACACACCCAGACCTCCAATCCCTCCCTTTACCACCCAAGCTACGCACAGCCACACGTCCCTGCTGGTCATGAATAATCCAGGCGGCCCAACAGGCCATTGCACTCAGCTTTGTGGTGGTGGTGAGGGGGAGAGGAGCTTGAACAAAAGACAGGCAGCGCACAGAGCAGCTCTGGCTGAGTAGGCTCAGATGAGAAGACAATGGTAACTAGTGTCACTACAGACAGAGGCAGGAGGCTGAGACTTCAGAGTAAATCACATATCCAGGCGCCTGTTCCCATCGCAGCGCTACCATGCCAAATACCAGAGCTTTCCTTTGTGCCATCATCTGCGGAGCAAAGAGAGAACGACAGAAAGAGAGTGCAGCTATCCTCTCATCATTCCCTGCAGATGTTTGGATCTTTTTCTGCAAACCACAGGATCGGCCAAAATAGCTCTCATCGTTAAACTTTACTCATTTTTTAAATGGCAGGGTTAAGAACTGCATTTGACCTATCGTTTTGAGGCTCTGACAACAATACCCAAATTCTTAGAAAAGGTAAATCGTCTTTACCCAGGGTCAAATGAAAACTCAGACAAAACAAGCATAGCAGATAATTATTTAATCGACTCTGATTGCACAACAACTTCAGAACCAATCCACACAGGCAAACACATGTATCCTCCATGTTTACCTATGTCCACTTAGCATATTGAATGTGACGGCACGTCGTCTTCTGCGCAATCTAGGTTGCATATCAGTGCCATATAGTTCACACTGGAGTCTGATGGAGGTCGCATTTAAAATAATGTGTTAGCGACCACTAGGAATGTGCAATATAAACGATATACGGTAGAAACGATATAAATTTATCCTATGATTGAGATCTGTAGTCTACCAGCCAACCGCGCAATTCTTTTTGATGACGTAACCGGCTGGAGTCATGACAGAGGAAGCGGGAAGCAGCCTGGCTGAGAGCGCAAATGAAGAGGGGAAAAAAACTTATCCGGACCTGGTTCGGGTGTGTGAAAATGAACTGTTTACATATTTATGTGACGGCGCGTCCTCCGGTCGGATGCCGACCGACCACACTGCCTGCTGCGGGAGGAGTGCGCGCCGCAGCATGTGTGAAGGGCTCGACACATGGGAGGCGACGTCGCTCGCTCTCCATTCATTTCCACGCAGTGAGGCGACTGTCCGTGCAGGTGAAGTCRGTGCTCAGGTGGGACGCACAAAAATCAGTCTGGACCTCATTTCTCCTGCGGTCATAGCGCGACGATGCACGGCCGAATGTGCGCGCACTCCAAAGCGCGACTATAATGATTGTCACCCCGCCGGAGCGCGCACAGATTAAACACGTGGAGTGCAGAAAAAATAATCTGCAAAGTGTGTAGAAAGGAATAAATACAAGCAATTTATTTTACCACCTTAAAACGAAGCTGGTGATTCCAAACACAACATCCAATGGATGCCGATATCTATTACATTAAAGTTATTGTAGATCTCCCTTAAATTTAGATTTTTATGGGAGACTTTAAAGTGTCCCTTAAAAAAAGGAGATTTTAAGGTCTAAATTTTTTTACCTTTACATTTTTATTCCACTCAATGTGTGATTTATTTATTTTCTATTAAGTTTTATATCTTGATATATTTCGTTACCGCCACTCATCATAATGTATGTTGTGATATGAATTTTTTGCCATATCGCACATTCCTAGCGACCACACACCAAAAAAAGATTAACAGTCGATATCAGTAATTTTTTTTAACTTATTTGAAATAAGGACCAGGAGGAAAAAGGCTGATTAAATCTGCCAAACTGGTGACACAACCTTTCCTCTTTTATCCACAATTTCCTCAAACTGTTGCACTCGTTTTCGCCTTTCACTCCACGTCGTTCTTTTTGTTGTTGTTGTTGTTGTTGTTTTTCTTAAAGCAGTTATGAGGCACGGTGGCGAAACATGAAACTGTTACTGTGCAGGTTACTCAATAAGTTATTGCTTATAGCTTACCAAAAGGTGGGTGAGTTAGTTGATTCCACCAACCTTGCTTAGCTGGGCCGTGAGATGTGAGCGGCAAAAGCTTCTTCTCTGCATACACCCCCCAGAATGCCTGTGGTTCTGGATCGGAGTACAAATACAACTTTTTTTATTGATACTGATCACATCTATCGCAATATTATTGTTTTATTGCCCTGTGCTTGTTTGAACATAGCCAGAGAGACAAACAAGACAATCAAACACTCACTCACACTTATCTTGCATGTTTTTGATCTGTGGGAGGAAACCGGAGTTGCCCCAAGGAAAAACCCACACGTGTACACGGAGAACATGCAAACTCCACAGGGAAAGGCCTCGGGCCGGGAGGCAATGCTGCACCCTTCTCACTGGAAGGCGCTGGTCGAACCACTGTG